CTGCATTTAGTATTGCAACTCTCATAACTATTCTGCCTATCCAGTCCCCCCACACAGACCTTTTCTTTTTCCAAAATACCTTCCTCATCCATAATTTCTCGATTCTTGGGATTGTTTGTAGTGCATTTGAGCTGCTTGGGTAGGTCTGAGTAATACTTCTATTGCTAGGGCTCCGGGTAATCTGTACAACAGCCAAGGATGCATTTGCAGTTCTTTGTTTGTGCCTTTCCCAATTTACCTCCCAAGGACCACCCTTCCATATATGGATCTGGCTTCCTTGCCCACCACACACGGGGTATTACGATTGTCTGTACAGATATATCCTTTTCTGCACAATGTCATCTCACATTCATGGAGGCCTGTAGTCAACTTGTTTACTGGGAAAACTGATCATGTTTTGAACCGTTTCCTTAAAGATGCTGGCACCACCCAATAAATGGCATAATGCTCCAAAAGAATTCCACCCATAATTCTTGCTTGCAAAGGAAAGTGATGCACAGCATCGCCAGGACTGCTTAAAACCCGATCTTGTAATGTTAAACTATAACCAGCACTTGGAAGCATATGGATCTATATATTTTTATTACACACAGAAAAAGGAGGGACACCTGCCAAAAGCTGAATGCAAGCTTCTAAATTTGTCTTGCCAGAGTTGATGACATCATAGATGCTTAAAGCAGTGCAGGGCATCTGGTTTCCTTGTCATCAACTGTTTACAGAGCAGGTAAATAATGGAGAAATTATTGTAAATGAAATCTCATTTCATCTGAACGTTATGGGGATAATAAAATAATTGGAGGGATGAGTAATTGAGGCAGTTACTGGTAAATGATTCTCATCAAGTGACATAATCTAGGTTCCTATAACAGGGAATTTTGGGCTAATGTGCTTGAAGTAAATAGGGTTTTTCTGTATTTTGTTTATGCATCTGTGTATATGTTTTAATGAATGTACTTGTAATTTTGAAGTCCATTACTAATTTGGATTCTGACGTGTTTACCTTTTAAAGCGATGTAGTTCACCTTTAACACTACATCCAGAAAAAAAAATCCAACTATTATAAAAATCTTATTTTGAATTGAAATCTAGCTTCTAAATTAGAGTGCAGCATACAAGGGATTTATATTTTAATGTCAAAAACTCATGCACTACTTATATTTTGTTGCCAGCTCCCATCAGGATTGAATTTCATTAATAGGAAATATATATTAACTGAAGCATGAATTACAGGACATTTCAATAGCACTTGGGTTATAGTATTTGCCAAGTCCCTTTCAGGCTTTTTAGTTTCATTGCTAATGCAGATACGTCCAACATCTGTCTGTCTTGGTTAGTTTTTCTCTGTTGCAAAAAGACACATTTGCTTAAATCATCTGGGCCAAAAATAAAAGAAGGATGGACTCTTGGATGATTGTGATAGTTCTATGATCTGTAGTAACTGAAATAACTCATTATACACTGTAGCTATTTTATACAAATAGCTCTGTAGCATGGAGATTATTATTCATAATACATATAGTGCCATAAATTGTAACAATGCATTGCAATGTAAAACACATTTCTTGCCTCTGAAAAATCAAAGTAAAACCACCGTGTTGCCAGCCTAGCAGGAACTGTTTGAACCACTCTATTTTTAAACAGGATTTTCAAACAAGCTCCATTACTTGCAATTGGGGCATCAGTGGCATGTTTCCTTTTGAGTCAATATTAAATCCCTACCTTGGCATAGTGTTAGAGACACAGTGCTATTGGGACCAATTCTTGACCTCCACAGTCATTAACAATCTCATGGCACATTTTCCAAGACTAGCTGACTGCAGTGTCCTGCACTGTCCTGGCCAAATTCAAATTCAGTTGGATATGGTATTTGTCCTCACTCACTCACTGTCCTAAGATGTTGTGTAATGTTACTGTGTGTTGGGAAACAATGGTCTCATTTTGCCTCAGAGGTGGCTGCCTTTGGTGAGTAAAGTATCAGAGGGGTAGCCGTGTTAGTCTGAATCTGTAAAAAGCAACAGAGGGTCCTGTGGCACCTTTGAGACTAACAGAAGTATTGGGAGCATAAGCTTTCGTGGGTAAGAACCTCACTTCTTCAAATGCAAGAAGAAGATGCATCTGAAGAAGTGAGGTT